TAATGTTCTTGTAGGTTAGTGCCGTACCCACTATTGTACGTTACTTCTTAAGTCAATAGAAGACAAATAGGAAGTAGAGTATTGTATTTCTACTATAACTACTCGTGAGAGAGAGAGAGAGAGAGAGAGAGAGAACACTACAAGTTGGTGTGTTCTTGGCTGAAGGAGTTTTGTGGTTACTTAGACCAGTTTTCCTATGCATAATGTATCTGTGGTTGTGCCTCCCACATTTGCATTCTGCTTAGCAATAAAGGAAACAAGAGTAAAGAGTAGTTATCGATTTTCTCTGCAAACCTACTCATAAGAAATGACAAATGCAAATATTTTATGAATTATTTAGGTACGTATGAAACAAGTGATATGTTTCAAGTGCTCTTTTTTTGATACCTATGGAGTGCTGAAGAAGTATCTAATTATGCAGCATGAACTTTTGGTTCCATATAGAATCTACATGTTGCTTGTATTGGTATCCATCATCATTGGGACTAAGGTGTGAATCCATTACCTCTATAATCAAATATATCAGTCTTAGAGTTTGGGTTATATTCATTTTCTCGCTGTTGTTTGCACATCCGTTGCAGCTTCTGCTTCTTCTTTCATCAATTGTTTAGTTGCTTGATCTTTAGCCTCTTTAATCCACTCTTTTTTGACATCTTACGTCATGTCATCTTCCTAGCTTATGAGGCCCATGGTTTATGCTTTTCATCCTTTTGGCTTGTCTCAACCCCATTCTCATGGGTTACAGAGGAGCAGAAAGGCTGATTTGCTTCAATACTATTATGGAGTTGGAATGAAACCTTATTCATTTTGTAAGCTGACCCTTAGGTATATACTGTTGTCACTGTAAAAATTAATTGGATGGCCATATGTTTCTTATAGCGCATGCACCCTAATGTTCCTAGAAATTAGGTGGCAAACATTGCTTGTGATTAGTCCTACGATGTTATGTGGAATTAATTGTGGTCACAAATGTTGAATAGAGAATTCTCTTCTAGCAACTGCAAGGTTTCAAGCTGCTGCAACAATTCAAGATGCAGCTGTAAGGGAATGGGGGTTTCTTTCAGATGAGGAGAAGCACAGTTTGATTAGGGACAGTTGCACCAATGTTGCATTGATTTTTGTGCTACAAATGAAATATGACATGCTTGATAGTATTCTTAATGGAACAGTTAATGTCTAATTTTCTCAGGTGGATCTGATTAAATACTTTATTAGTTGTGTAATGCTGTCTTTTGCAGTTTGGTTTAATAACATGTTCCATGGAATAGAAAGTGACTGCACCTTTCCTGTATTGCAGTTTTTTCTTGTTCTTATGGAACATACATCTGAAGTCTATGTTCCAAAAAAGCTTCCAGCTATCAGAGCATTGTTGATGAAGAGAGGTTGGTAGCCCCCCTTCCCCCTCTCTATCTCTGCATGCATGTGTGCATGTGTTGTATGGGTAGAACCTATAATAAAAAAATATATCATAGAGTTGACCTTCTATTTCATTTTTTTATTTTTTGAAAGTTATTCACTGTTAAAAAACTCATCTAACATAAGGTTTTCCCATACAAAATGAAGCCGATACTCATAAGATGCATCTGAGTCAACATTCATCATGATCATGTCGTTGTTTTAAATTAAACTTGTCCAAATGATTACCAAGTTCTTCCTCTAGAATGGCCACTGATTAATGACCTTGTTTTGCTTCTCTCCCTTCTTTTTGTTGCGTTCCATTCTACAAACCTGTTCTACTGTTAAGCTTTGTGAGTTTTATTTGCAAACCTCCCTTTTTACTTGTCTTGTATTAGCAGTTGCTCATGATTTTCAGAGGATTTTAAAGTGTTTCCTCTGCTCTAGATGTCATTTTTGTTATTGTGTGTGGATTAAAGATGCATGTACTCTTTTGCAGGTTGGAATGCACTGCAGCTCAGAAGGATTCATTTTTCCTTCAGGTACCTAATGATATTACTTTGTGATTATAAGAGAAAGGAATTGTCATATTTACTTGCATTTAAAATATAGATCACATAAACCCTGTATTTTTGCTTCATCAAAAAGAGCACAGTTGTGAAGATCAGGCTGTTTTGTTGAGTTTTGATGTAAATGGTCCAACAGGTTGTCCAATCTTTTCATGTAAAAATAAATAACAATTCCAGACTTGTAAAAAATAGGTCTCAAAAATGCCCCCATTTAGCATCATCAAGATTATTTATTCATGAAAATTAGTATCTGATATCCATCTCTACAGATGACATCCCATTCCAACGGATACATATGAAAAGTTAAAATTTGTATTGCAGCATTCCGCCATGTGTTTCAAATATTGAAATGGGATTTTGAAAAGACGATTACTGCTGGCATGGGAGGTGTGAGGAACAAAAGAAATGCTTCAATTTCTGGCTTTGAACATGAAGCTGTGTTGCTGAGATGTCTGAACTGGTATCTGTCCAGGTAAATGCTTTTTAATTAGTTTACCATGATCCAATCGATTAGTGCCACAGTGGAATCCACTATCTATGTCAATAATGAACAGATGGATCTAACTTTGCTGAGGCGAATATGCCAGTGGGCCCCATAATTGTTGGTCTACATGGTTAATTGGAGGGACCAGAATTTGGATGGCTGTTGGAGTAAGGTATGCTATACTCCATTATATTATGCTATAATAAACGGATGCATGTAGACATTATGGATCTGATTTTGTTGCTTTCCCTTTCTTTTCACATCGATGTTCTTGTCTCTCTCTTCCTCTGCTGCCCATAGCCCTCACCCAAATGACACAACTTGTACTCTCTCGTGGTTGTATTGGTTCATTTTGGAGCTTTATAGAACGATCGACCAGAAATCATCATCTGACCGAAGTTGGGTTGATTCTCCTTTTGCTGTTCCAGCTCAACATCTGATTGTGTGGTTGTGCTCATGGCCTGGGACCATATTTCCTTCTGGTACCATGTTCCTCAATTTCATGTGTATCTTCAGGTAGTCCCTTTCTTTTGCACAATATGAGTTTTTGCTCGTGCCCTTACCTGCTGATAGACAAAACTATGTCCACCTTTAGTCTGACTACGGTCGGTTAAGGCAAGTGTAAGGAACCAGAAGCATGACTGAAAAGTGTCTGGCAGTAGCTGGTGCTTTAGTCTCCGATATTTCCTAGTTAATGTTACTTAAGATGCTAAAACTTCAAAAAGGTTTTTGGTATCAACGAGTTTTTCTAAGTGTTAACCTTGCTATGGTGATACCATGCCTTTTGTACTGTTAATGTGAGCTTCTGGTTTTAGATTATGACTAAATAGGCCTTGTCATGAATTTATGATCCCATAGACCAAAACATCATTTAGAATGAATTCTGAACAGTGACAAGCAAACTGATTAACCGTAGACTGTTCAAAACCCACAACCTCAAATAATAATGACTTTGAAAAACAGAGAATTTTATAAAACGCCTTCAAAAATACGCAAGCACAGTAAGATCTCAATTTTATTCAGGTCTTTATGAAGGGACATAAATAGAGTTGGATGATTTATGTGCGAGGATAAAAAAGAAAATGCAATTTAATCCGTCGGACATACAAATAGTGCAGTTGTATTCATCTCCTATTTTCACCCGCATCAAGGAGTTAACTTCGTAACTGGTGTGGATATCGTCTGCGGCTGGTGTTGTAGGAATATCATCTGCCTCCCAAATGTCGTAATCCTCATCTCCCTCCCAATTCAGCACACCCTCATTATCGTTTGAAATCTCGAAATCCTCATCATCCTCACCTACCCCGTGAATCACTACCAGGGATATCATCGGCCTCCCAAATGTATGCTATAATAAACGGATGCATGTAGACATTATGAATCTGATTTTGTTGCTTTCCCTTTCTTTTCACATCAATGTTCTTGTCTCTCTCTTCCTCTGCTGCCCATAGCCCTGGCCCAAATGGCACAATCTCTTACTCTCTCGTGGTTGTATTGGTTCATTTTGGAGCTTTATAGGACGATCGACCAGAAATCATCATCTGACTGAAGTTGGGTTGATGCTCCTTTTGCTGTTCCAGCTCGACATCTGATTGTGTGGCTATGCTCATGGTCTGGGACTGTATTTCCTTCAGGTACCATGTTCCTCAATTTCATGTGTATCTTCAGGTAGTCCCTTTCTTTTGCACAATATGAGTTTTTGGTCGTGCCCTTACCGTCTGATAGACAAAACTATGTCCACCTTTAGTCTGGCTACGGTTGGTTAAGGCACTGTAAAGAACCAGGGGAATGATTGAAAAGTGTCTGGCAGTAGCTGGTGCTCTTGTCTCCGATATTTCCTAGTTAATATTACTCAAGATGCTAAAACTTCAAAGGTTTTTGGTATCAACGAGTTTTTCTAAGGTTAACCTTGCTATGGTGATACCATGCCTTTTTGTGCTATGAATTTTTTATCACATAGACCAAAACATCATTTAGAATGAATACTGAACAGTTACAAGCAAACTGATTAACCGTAGACTGTCAAAAACCCACAACCTCAAATAAAGATGACTTTTAAAAGCAGAGAATTTTATACTACTCCTTCAAAAATACGCAAGCACAGTAATATGTCAATTTCATTCAGGTCTCTATGAAGGGACATAAATAGAGTTATATACATTTATCTCCATATAAGTAATGGATGATTATGTGTGAGGAGAAAAAAGAAAATGCGGTCGACAGTCGATGCTTGCACACCGGGCATGAATTGCTTTCCCCAAGCCATTTGAAATGGCCACAGGGCATCGCCCTTAAGTCGTCACTAAGCTCCGACATACAAATAGTGCAGCTGTAGCCTTCTTCATCTCTTATCGCATCAAGTCATTAATTGGTGTTGTAGGGATATCGTGGTTTTGTAGGGATATCATCTACCTCCCAAATGTCGTAATCCTCATCTCCCTCCCAAATCTGCACACCCTCATTATCGTTTAAAATCTCGAAATCCTCATCATCCTCACTTACCCCGCGAATCACTACAACCCTGTCATCCTCTCTAGGGATATCATCATTGAAATCTCGAAATTCTCATCATCCTCACTTACCCCGCGAATCACTACAACCCTGTCATCCTCTCCAGGAAACCATCGTTGAAATCGAATCACCACAACCCCGTCATCCTCTCCAGGATATCATCTTCATCATCCTCACTTACCCCGCGAATCACTACACCCCCTTCATCCTCTCCAGGGATATCATCTTCATCATCCTCACCTACCCTGTGAATCACGACAACCCCGTCATCCTCTCTTGGATATGATCGGCCTCCCAAACGTCGTAATCCTCATCTCCATCCCAATTCAGTGTGTTTGAAATTTCGAAATCTTCAACATCCTCACCTACCCCGTGAAACACTACATCCTCTTCTGCCAAAATCTGGACATCCCCACCATTCTCACTTGCCTCCTGAATCTCTAAACCGAAAATTTCACACACCACATTCACTATAATACTTTTGTTTTGATCCTGACGCAATATGCATGTTCCGATTGAAGATAATTTGCAGTGGATGACGGTCGTCTCGCCCCGGACATGATTCACGCCCCAACCGTTGCAACCAAGATGATGCCTTGCATCCCTCCCTGACATGACCGTCATGCATAATATCATAAAAAATGGATACAAGACGTATGGCCCCAACCGTTGCAGCCAAGATGATGTCCTGCATCCCTCCCTCTCCCTGACATGACCCTCATGCATAATATCATAAAAAATGAATACAAATTTGTGACTGCTACTTACCCATCATTCTCACTTGCCTCCTGAATATCGGTATCCTCATCATTGTTCTCGTCCTCTGTCTTGTAAATCTCTACATCCTCAATCAAGGCTTTGTTCATTTCCTCAAATTCTTTACAAAAATTCTTTACAAAAATTGAGTGAGCTTTGACTTCATCAGATTTGAGGTCTCCTTCAAAACTAATATCACCGTTCTTGGTAGACTGCACCGTAGACTGCACCACCCGTAGCACCAAAGGCTTTAGCAGCCCCAAAAGTATGAGCCACTACTAGGGCAGTGATGCTGCAAATGTTTAGTGGGGTAGGCCACATGACTCTAGTTTTTCGAAAACGTGGGAAATCGCATGATCCAGGGTCAAGAATTGACTCTAGTTTTTCGAAAACGTGGGAAATCGCATGATCCAGGTCGAGAATTGGGTCAAGAATTTCTGTACGGTCCCATTTAGTCCGCATTTCATACTCTGAATCCAAGTTCTTATGTTCCAGGGTGTGCTGATGACCACTCACATCTTGAAGGGTTGAAGGGAGTTCAAATGTAGGTTACGAAATCACATAGTCAGCAAGAATGGACAACAATTATAAATCCCCGTACCAACCTACATTTCATGAAGAATATAGGAAAAAAAAATACATTTAATGAACAACGTACCTTTCATGAAGAATATAGAAAAAAAAAATACATTTCATGAACAATTATATCTCGTTTTTTTTTTTTCAACTAGTAGAATACTGCGATCTTTATTTGTTAATGAAATTGAGACATTCCTTAACACCATATCTTATGTAGGGTTGACATATCTTTGCAACTTTTATTACTAATGCACTTGTTAATGAAATTGAGGGATTCCTTAACACCATATCTTATGTAGGTGTGACATATCTTTGCAACTTTTATTACTAATGCACTTTCTTGGAAACTTTGAAACTTCTGAATGATGTATTTTCTCTGTTCCTGACTTTCTGTTTAATATCTCATAAAAAAAGAACATTTTTTAATAATGATTTACTTTTTATTTAAAATGCTTGCAGTGCTTAATATATTTTTAAATCACCTGAGAGAGAATTTTTAATAATCAGTACAGACGGTTTCAACTGGGATATTAAAAATTCAGTAAGGGAATAAAAAACTTACATTGTTTTCAAAAATTTAACTTCTATTATTAGACAACGTTCTTGGAAACTTTGAAATTTCTGAATGATATATTTTCTTTGTTCCTGACTTTCTGTTTGATATCTCATCAAACTAGAGTATTTTTTTAATAATTAGTTATTTTTAATTTAAAATGCTTTAAGCGGTTAATATATTTTTAAATCACCTGAGAGAGCATTTTTTAATAATCAATACAGAAGGTTTCAACATGGATATTAAAAATTCAACAGGGAAATAAAAAAACTTACATGGTTTTCAAAAATTTAACTTTTATTATTAGAACACATTCTTGGAAACTCTGAAAATTCTGAATGATATATTTTCTTTGTTCCTGACTTTCTGTTTAATATCTCATCAAAAGAGAGCATTTGTAATAATTATTATTATTTGTTTAACAGTGAATACATTCTTAAATTACCTAAGAGAGCATTTTTAAATCGGTACAGACAATACAGAAGGCTTCAACAGGGATATAAAAAAATTCAATCGGGAAATAAAAAACTTCATGGTTTTAAAAAATTTGCAGATAACTAACTCTTCCTTATAGAGAGAGAGCAATTCAACTTGGTTAATGCTATTCAAAATCTTAGAGAGAGAATGAGAGCATGCCTCGTTCTTCAATTCCCCTGCGCATTCTCACCTCACCCACCAAACTGATGATCCAAGAAAAAAACGCAGAGAGAGAGCTTTAGAGAGAGAGAGAGATTTAGAGAGAGAAAGAACCAAGAAAAAACACAGATAGAGAGACATTTAGAGAGTGAAAGATTTTATAGAGAGTGAACCAAGAAAGGAACGCAGATAGAAAGATTTAGAGAGAGATTAAGAATGCAGATAGAGCGAAAGATTTAGATAGAGAAATATTTTAGAGAGAGAACCAATAAAGGAATGCAGATTGGGATATTTGGAGAGAGATTTTAGAGAGAGAAAGAACCAAGAAATGAGAGGAACAACGAAAAAAAATATCAAGAAACCAAGAAATCAGATAGAATGGCTTAGAGATAGAGAGAGAAGATGGAGATAGCTCTTATAAATTGAGAGTTTTAGAGATAGAAGGTGATGCCACATCAGCATCATTTTCATGAAAAAGAAA